CCTTAAAGATCATCTAGTTCCAACCCCCTGCCATGGATATTTTTTTCCTCTACTTTATGTTGAGGTAGAGGGCAAGATCTGTCAGGAGGGACAGCGAGTACAGAGGCACAGCCCTGTACATCCAGTTCAGGGACATCAGAAGTGGAGGTATGACTGTGCACATCAGGAATCCTGTTCAACTGCAAATATAGCTCAGCTTAGGAAAGAAATGTCTCTAACAGAAAAAAAATTCAGGCTTTCCTGTTCAATCTCATCAGCGATAAATTAGGGGTTAAAATATCAGATTGTTGGTCACTCACCTTATTATTGATTTCCAATGAGAAGTTGTTTTGGAGTTGTGCCAACGTCATTTTATTGTAGAGCAAAAGCGGATCATTTCTGTCTTCAGATTTTGTTGTTGCCTATCAAAGTTAATGATGAGACAATTACTGAGTGCACCGAGGCAGTCCCCAGGAGTTTTGGCTCTGATCAGGATGCACGTGCTACCCTGTGTGTTCTTTCTGGATGCCCTGCTCAGCCAGGGAGCCACAACCCACCACTCCACAGGCTCAGGGTTACTCTGGGCAATGTGGCTTTGCACCAGGGAGTTAAATATGTGCATCCAGAACAGCAGATTTTACCAACTGAAGTGTTTTGAAAAATCAGTCATGCCAAGTCTCATCCCCACCTTCTCTCCTGCTTCCCCTCTCCTATTGTGCGTTCAGTGGGGTTTTTATCTGTATCTGTTTTAACAGATTCCCAAGAGCACAATGCCAGCTCTCTTCAGTCACTCTCAGGCTGATGCTGAGTTTTGGATGGAAGGTTAAAACCCAAGGCAGAGGCAGCTTCCCCAGCACCAGCTGGACTCTCTGTCAGCAGCAACTGCTGCAGAGACATTGCAGGTGTGGGTTCCTTTCATACTCCTCTGTAAAATCCTTCTCCAGTGAATTCATTATTCAGTAATAGTTTCCCATCTCTGATTGAACCCAGGGCTGTGATTCTCAGGAAAATGTGAAGAAAGTCAAAATCAGATGGTTTTAGTTTATACAAATGGTTTTCCCAAACGTGTGCCCTTACTATCAGTGTAACTTGAAAAATAGCTGAAGCTAGAAAATATGTCTTTAACTTGTTCCACAGTCATCCTCAGCTTCAGGTCCTGCTGCAATAGGTTAATAATCACAAGCCATGGTTTGCTTCTGAATGCCTGAGTTTCCATTTGGTTTTTTCCATGCAAGTTCACATTCTCACTATTTCTCCAAAGTCAAACTCATGATATTATTTTTCCTTTGCCCTTTCCTTTTAATGGAGAACAGTGTTTGATTAAAAATGCTCTTTCTTGGAACAATCAGCATTGTGGAGCAGCTTGTGCAGCACAAACATGACTTTGTGTTCAGGGCAGGCCAAGGGCTGGGAATCTGCTGCTCTGGGATCCAAACAGCCCACGGGGAAACAGGACAAAGGGAGGAGAGGCCCCAAAGCATCTCCCAAAACTCACACTCCAAACCACATCAAACAGAGCCCAAGTCTCTCTGTCTCCTCTTGCAGGGCTTCTGTGAACAGCTCAGGGTAAAACATTTCCTTGGCAAACAGCTAACTCAGATCCTTTCCCTTGCTCCTTCCAGGACATGTCTGCATTGGGACGTGTTCCTCTCAGGTGTGACATTCGTTTTTGGTCCCACAAAATACCACCAGCAGGTCACTTAACTCAGTTTACAGTAAACTTTCTTAGGTATTTTGGAAAAAGTCAGTTATGTAAAGAATACATTAAAAATGTTTTTCTTACATTGGCAATCTCTTTCTCCAGGTCCATGACTGTATTCATTTGCTGAGAAATCTCATCCTCATTGACAGAAATGTTTCTTTCTTGTAGGATTAGTTTGGCTACAGAAATCATGAAATCAACATAGGCAGAACATGCCTGCAGGGAAAAATAGGAACATTTTAAAGACAAAACTCTTCAGAGCAGAGCATGCCTTGATTATAGTTAAGATTTTGTCTTTATTTTTATGAACTACAGATCTTCATCCCTTACTTAAACAGTTTAATTTTATTCTGAAATACTGTTAGGTCACAGCTAGAAATTAACTTTGAAAATTCCCTCATGGAGAACTGTTGTGTAATTGGAGCGCTGTTCAAAGCTAAACATGCTCAATGACTGCCCTGTGTTTTCATTATTGCAGTTGAGACGTTTGTACGTCCATATTTAAACCATCAGCCCTGTTTTTCTAGCTCACTTTAATTACAACTTCCAAAAATACCGCTTCCAAAGAGCAGTGTTCCCAGGAACAGAAAACCAGGGAATTAGCATTGTGGGAAAAGCACTCCCAGAGCAGTGAGCCTCCTAGTGCTTCTGGGAACAGTTGGAAATCATGGCACTGTATCCAAAGTTAGGTATATTATAGACAGGATAGTATATATTAAATTAAACAGGAAAGAATTCACCAAGGATAAGAATGTAAATAGGGCAGTAAATTATCTCAGATGTCCCACTGTCAAATCACTACAGGTGTCATTATATTTTATGGAACTCAGTATTATTCTAATTCCTCTCTGATTAGCCACTTTTGATTATTCCACTTTTCTATCAACAGAAATGCTGTTTTCAATATTCTTTATAAATGTAAATTTTTAAAAATACATAATACTAGATTAGCTATGAAATAATATATGTTTTATGCAATATACTGTGATCTCCCAAACCAGTGATTAAAGCTAGGATTAATAAGGTGTGCACATCATTAGCTTAATTAATAGCAGTATTTTGGTACGTTGTGCTCCTTGGGCAGCAGGACACACCCCTGTAATGAATGTCCCACGTGCAGCCACTCCAGAACTCCCCTCCTGGGCATCCCTCCCTCCCTGCAGCAGTGCCAGGCTGTACCTGGCTGGGGTGTGGGCACTGAGCAGCTCAGAAGGTCCTGCCAGCACAGTGCCCAGAGGCAGGACTGAGCTCTCAGTGCCATTGGTAATGAAAGAGGAGAGCCCATGAAACCACAGAGCTACAATGAGTCACGACAGACAGTGCATAGCAAGCCTGGAAAAAACACCTGAAAATTCAGTACAGATATTACCCCACACCAGGAAGTCAACAGAGCCTTTCAGGCACCAGTCTGTGGACTTTGTTTTTGTCCTAAAGTACAGCTCTTAGGTCAGGTGGCAAAGAACTCAGTCAGCTAATTCCAGATGCCCTGAATAAAGAGTGTCAGATATTCCAGAGGGAAAGGCCGAGTCGCTCCTGTGTGAGCTGAGCTGTCCTGTATCTCACAGGACAAGATGATTTTATTGCCAGGTCCCACCCGTGTGTCTGAGTGGGGAGCCCTGAGGGAGGCAGAGGTTGAAGGGCGGGAGGCAGAGCTGGTGTTTGCTGTGGACAGTCCCAGAGTGCAGTGACACAGCAGGAACCGGAGCCAGGAACAGCCTCTGTTGGACTGTGGGCATGGAAGGGAACTGCCCTCCCTTGGAGCAGTCATGGGAATGGGGAGGGTATGGGAACCTGCCTGGCAGTCATAAAGCTGGGGTTTCAGAGTCCTTCCTCCTCTGCTGTGCAAAGCTGATACTCAGACAGGTCAGAGATTAGGACGGGAACTGTGGAATTGTGTCCCAGTGCTGCAGCTGACACAGCACAAGGAAGGAGCAGGTGGTGCTCCCTGAGCCAGCTCCCAAAGGCCATCCCCTTCACATGTGGAATACTCATGGAGCTGAACGGTTCAGGTGGCAATGACTGTCTTTTATGACCATGTGATCTGTAATTAAATGTAATCACTATTAACTGGTGGCAGGTCAGCAAAACACAAACAAACCCAAAATGGTTTGTACACTTTCTCATTGCTTCTGCATTTAATTACACAGAAGAAAAGCAGGTAATTAAAGGTCACTGTGGTAGCAGTTTCAGCTCCATGACTTCAGCAAACACAGACACTGCAGTTCCCAAGGACTTGAAGCACATCCCAGATTAGCAACAGAGATACAGTGTCAGTGCTAACAGGTTAATGAGAGCATGTACCAGTAATGAGTAAAGAGGAATTAAAGGAGACCATGTGAGGTTTCAGGTATCTGAGCAATTCCAGTGGTATCACATACTTTAGCTACAGTTGATGTAGAGGACTGTGATCTTTTCGGATCTTTCGTGCAGAAAAGTGTGTCTTGGGCTCTGAATGGTTCTGTTTCTCTCCCCAAGCCTGTTACTGTAACCTTGGTTAAATGCTCATTATCATCACCTTTCCCTTCCAGTTTCCCTCATTCTCCCAGGGATGTTTTCCAGGGGCAGCACTGGAATCTCTTTGAGGAAAGACTGTTCTGTCCTTCACTCATGCCCACTCCTGAGGATGTGTCTGCCTTGAAAATACAGCCTAAACCCTCTGAAATGTCCTCAGTGATGTGTCCCCACCTTACCTCTTTGTATGCCCCAGTGCACTCGTAGTAGTCCCGGGAAGGCAGGCCCAGGCCAGGCTGATCAATCTGAAAATGCAAACAAAAATGGAAAAGTTACTTCAGGATGAAATGGCAGAGCATTGTACTCTCGTTTGGGAATTACAGGTGCTGGGGCTTCACTCTGGCCATAGGGAAGTTTCTCTCTCATCCTCACCTTTAATTCTTTTCACTCTCCCTATACTTTTTGCCTTTCTTTTCAGTCTCTTTTTCTGTTACATTGCAAGCTGCTGGTAACCAGTGTGAAAATAGGTGAAGTCCAGGTGACAGAACAGCCCCTAGAGAAGCCAGGCAGTTCCTGCACCTCTGGAATTCGTACATGTGAAATGCTCATGGATCCATCTACCCAGCAACAGGAGAGACTGGCCCTTTGCTCCTGTAACTTCTGTGTTATTCCCCATCTCACTGAAAATAACAGGGGATGAGTGCACAGAACAAGGATGTCAACCTGGAGAACAGACAGGGCACTGGGAAACAGAGGACTGAAGTTGAAACTACATTGATTCACCAGTTCATCTCCAACATGCTCTGGTAAATTCAGATCACTGGTGTTGCTGGTGGTTCCCATTTCGCTTCTGGTTATTTGCTGCACTTTTATGATCAGCAAGTCCTGGCCCCCAGGGAGACTTACATGGATGATGTATGCTGTGGAATTCTTATCGTCTGTGCCCACAAAAAAATTAATAAGGACCTTTTTCCCATATCTGGAGTTGAGCTGTGCAATAGCTGCCTCAGCTGTCCAGGCAGTACCTAAGCAAAAGGAAAGGTGTGTTCAGTTGTGATTTCTGGTAAGCAATAAAACCCACAGTAATTTAGATATTTTAACTGAAAAGAAATAAGCACAGGTTGTCTTACCATAGGAAGCCTCCCAGTCAGTTGATGCTACAGGCCAGTCAGACACATTTGGCAATAAACTGATTAAAGGCCCTCCACCTCTGCTATCAATGGCAGCTTTTGGAAAAAACAAAATGGGTTACCATGACATTTTAAACCCCACAAATGTTATATATTATAATGAGTTTGGAACAATGAAGCTGGGAACTCTGTTTCCCCCATCACCACAGCAGCAGTTTGCTCTGATGGATGACTCTGCTTTAACATTTAATGTGAAGACATTCCAGTCGTGATGCAAACAGCATGTGCACATCCTTGCAGCCATGACATTGAAGAACTATTGTCTTTTCTCTCTGCAGAGAGCTCGAAATAATAGTTTTGAGAAGTATTAATAACATTATAAAAACTATAAATACGTGATTTAGGAAGCCCTGCAAACTGTTTTACTGCTCTTTGTTCCAGTGGCAGAGCCCAGCTCAGACTCTTGAATTAAATGGTCTCCCTGTCTTCCCACAGCCTGGTAATGCCACGGAGCTTTCACCTCATCCCTGCTAATTTCTACAAAAGAATTAACTCATATTTAACTGAAAGGATTTGAGTTTAAATATCTGCAGCAAACTAGTAACTGAAGAGTAATGTAATCTCACCTAAGATACCATAGCTAGTAAAGCAGGAGATACAGTGCTCACTTTACAATTAACGTTCCTGTTTGACTCTCTAGGATGGATGCACTGTAGTTTTCACAAAGAATTTCTGACAGATTCTGCACAGGCTGGGCTACAGGCAGAGCTGTGTGAGGAGGTGCGATTCTTTGGCTGATGTCAATGCAGTAAACTCAGGAGACACTTACTTTCATTAATGCAGGACCTGTACAGAGTTTTTGCCTTCTGCACTGCAGGGATGTCCTTGGTGCTGGGGGTGTCGAGGACATCTGAAACACAGACAGCAAGTGTGTGCTGATGGCTGAGCTGGGCTGGGAGTGCTGAGGGAAGGAGGGCACACAGCCCTGAGGGGGATGGGAAATACTCTGTGCCAGCCCTAATGCCAGGGGGCTTTGCCTTTCAAAAGCTGAGGGGGGAAAGCTCTGGAGGTTCAGTGCCTTGTGATTACATCGGTCTGTGTTAATAAGCTGAGCATAGAGGAGTCAGGAGATACTCTGTGGGTCACCTTTGGTGAAACACAAATGCTCTGACTTTCCAGGGGCAGTTTTTAGGAGGCCAGGCTATCATGTGAAGGCACAGCTGGCAAAACCAGGAGATAGGTGAAGTAAAAAAAGGATGTTCAGTGTGGAGAGAGAGGTTTGGAGAGGGTTTATAAACTGACTTCTTTGACTCTGTTATTCTTGTCTGAAAAAGGGAATTGTGCACCATTTGACACTGTTGCATTTTGTGGAAAAAGAAATGTTTGCAAGTTTATGGTGCGACTGGTTGGGAAATGGCTTGCCTGTTCTTTGGGATTTCTGATGGAATACAGCTATGCAGGGCATAGGGCTGCTGAGGAGCAGCTTCCAGCATTCCAGCTGGTGTGGGCACGGGCAGACCTCCTCCTCCTTCACCTGCCTGGCTGCTGTGTCAGTGCATGAGGGTCAGGGTAGGCATTTCAGTGGTTATAATAAGCAGATACCAGACAGGGCAGGTCTGGTCAGCTCTGCCCCAGTGCCAGACACAGCAGCATAACTCCCACAGCCTTCTCCAAGCAAACAGTTTGGGGCACTGAACACAAACCCCAAAATATCTGGTGGTATTTTCAGCTTTGCTAGAAAACCACAACTCCTTAGGATAACATGTAAAGGCAAAGAAGAAACTTTACATGGCCCACAAACAAACCCCACTGACCTTTTAGAACGACCTCTAGTTCGTCTCTCAAAATGTCAAAGTTGCTATAACGGGAGCTGGTCTCGGGGATGACGTTCCTGCGCAGCCACCCCCCGCAGGCAAACTGGTAGAAGTCCCCGCAGGGCTGGGCACTGGGGTCCATGTTCTCCAGGATCCGGGCGGCTGCGGGACACACAGACAGAGGATGGTCACACATGGACAGGGGACGGTCACACACGGACAGGGGACAGTCACACACGGACAGGGGACAGTCACACATGGACAGGGGACGGTCACACACGGACAGGGGACGGTCACAGGGGATGGTCACTGGGGACACATGGACAGGGAACAGTCACACATGGACAGGGAATGGTCACTGGGGACACACGGACAGGGAATGGTCACACATGGACAGGGAACGGTCACAGGGGACGGTCACCGGGGACACACGGACAGGGAACAATCACACATGATCACACATGGACAGGGAATGGTCACCGGGGACACACAGACAGGGGACAGTCACACACGGACAGGGGACAGTCACACACGGACAGGGGACGGTCACCGGGGTGTGTGCTCGGAATGGGGAGCCCACAAATACATTCGGTTCAGAACAGGGGAAGCCCACTTGACTGTTGCAGAGCAAAGAGCAAGGAATGGCTGTTCCTGTTCCTGACTGAGCACGGCCTCCACACTCTCCGGTTGCCTGTGTTTGCTGAGGGGTGAATGAGTCGAGGGTGCTGCTGCCTGCAGTGGCCGCTCAGTTCTAAATGAACTGTAAATGTTTCATTGTCTGACTTACCCTTCTTTGTATTGAAGTGGGGTGAAAAGGGGCATTAAAGGCACGAGACATGGCAGAGGTAAAGCTGGAATTGTTTGAGTAGGATGTAGGCTCAACTGAATCCAGGCTATTTCAGTAAAATATTGACTTTGTTGGACCTTTTAAGTTCTTGTCAGGAAGGTTTTTCTGTTGATACTTTCCTGAAGCTACACTCACTTTTTTTACTCCACATTTTACTCTAGAATTGATAGTGCCTCTTGCTGTCCCTGTTGACCCTCATGAAGTGCCTTGTCCAGGACAACTGGTCACTGACCGATCGTGACACCGGATTCTCCAGTGAAACCCAGTTCCTTGATGGGAGTTTCCCACCAGCTGCCCATAAACCTTCTGGGCTTTTTCTCTTTCCTATTCCTCTCCCACCCAGATTGTGGTCACTGGTTTACTCAGTTGCCTACCTGTACTGAAAATGTAAAGCCTTATCTCAATTACTTTTAATGATTAATTTTACTGTAGTACTCCAGTTGCTATTAAAGCAACAGTGCCAGTTGTTGCTGTAATAGCTTACAAATAAAGTAATTTAACCTGTCATAACAGCTGGTGACCTGGGGAGGATACAGGAGCAACACAATGTGCTTACCTAGGTGAAACAGGGGAGAGATCAAAATCCCCTGTGCTCACCAGGCATTTCTGATGTCTGAGCTCAGGGAAATGAGCAGAGTGTCAGCTCAGCCAAAAAGTGCTCCAGTGTCCCATTCCATGGTGTGTGCTGTGCCACCCTGCAGGGGATCTCCCCCATCCATGGGTAACACCACCATGCTCTTACTGAGATTTTACCCTGCCTATGACCAGTTGACTTCTCATTACATTTTTATTGCTGGTCATTTATTGGAAGCTCTTCTCGCAAATGCTCTATCAATATCTTCATTATTTTCCAGTGGTTAAATGCTGTTAAAGCTTTTAACAAAAGCAGAAAAGAGTGAAACCATTCTGCTCAATTAGTTTAGGCACTTCTTGCTAGCTCTTCATTTTACATTGTGCCTCATTTCTCCAAACTTTTCCTGCTTATCCTCTGGAGTTGGTTCATCACCACGTAGTCTATCTGAGCTCCTTTTTAGCAGACATGTATATTTAGCTGAAAATGAGCATCCCCAGAGATGAAAAAAATCCAGTAGATAACTAAATTGATCATATTCCAAACCACAGCACGAGCTTTCATGGTGGGAGGAAAACACCTTGGAAGTGTCATGAAAAGACAGTGATGACCACCTGAAATAAATCCTATATTTAGAGCGTGCTGGTGACAATGTGCAGTTCCTGAGCTTGGGACTGCCTTGGGGCTTCACCAACGGGGGCCTCCAGCAGGACTGAGGTGTGGGGACAACTCCCAGGGCTGCTCTGGCTACTGTCTAAAATGAGACTGAAACGAAGGAAAGAGCCCAGGGCTGAACTCGCCTGTGTTGCAGAGGGGCAGTGATGATGCAGGGAACCCGTGTAAGAGTCCCACGGTGCTCATGACACGAGATAACATGGAGCCATCCCATGATGCTGCTCATGGGAGGTACCAAGGCTGAGCAACAGGCAACGTGTTTGCTCAGTGGGGTGAGAGTTCAGTGCTGGGAAATGAGCCATGGTATGAGCTGCTGGTTTAGATCCCCTGGCAACCTCTGTGACGGGGCCACAGCCTTTGTGAACTTGGTAGCCAAGTTATTCCACAGGGGTGGAGAAAGAAAAAGGAATGAACAACTGCCCCAAGGTCACACCCAAAGAGGGATTTCAGAGGCCGCGTCTTCAGAAGCTTCCCAGAAAAACACACCATGAAAAAAGAGCCCTGTCACAGATAGAGCAGGTGATTCCACCTTGGCAGAGCAGGGCTCTCCTCCTTCCGTGGAGAGAACTCTGCAAGGGCATGATGGAAAATGGCTTGAAAGGAGAAGGCAGAGCTGGCACAGAGCCCCTGTGAAATACATGTTGGCACAGCCAGATAAGTGCTCCCTTCTCTTGAGAAATGAGAGAGAGGGGCTCCTCCTGAGCCTAGGAATGAGGTGGAGGGAGTGTTATAAAGAGAGTGGGGACATTTAATGGCTTTAAACTGAAAGAGGGTTTCAACTTAAGAACTGAAAGATTGCCCAGAGAAGCTGTGGCTGCCCCATCCCTGGAAGTGTCTAAGGCCAGGTTGGACAGGGCTTGGAGCAGCCTGGGCTAGTGGAAGGTGTCCCTGCCAACCTAAACCATTCTGTGATTCTGTCATTCTGTGATCTAGAAGTAAATTAGGCAAAAAAACCCCAAAACAGTGTGAATTGATGTGGAGAAGAAAACAGGCCAAGAGAACTAGAGGTGAGGGGAAAGGGAGAGCCCAGATAACAACCCCTTCCCCTCCTACAAGAGGATACATAGCATGGAACTCTGCATTTCCCTGGGGCATTCTCTAGCAGTTCTCTAGCAGAGTTCAGCAGGTAAATGAAGAATTTTCATGCAGTTGTTACTGAAGGATGAAGTTAGCTTGTCAGACTATAAAATTTGTAATTTTTTGGACATGAAGGATGGTTTTGTAAGATCTGACAGTTCCACAGCACAAGATTTTACTTTTGTAGGAGAACTATGCTAAGAAAATCATGTGGGGTAGCAGATGCCATGCCTGCATGTGCCATACTTGTCTGCAGAGAAGTGGAACATTCCACAGTAGCAATTTTGCTTATAAAGACATAAATTAATTTAAAAGGTATGTATTTCCATTCTTACCTGATTTTATGCAGTCTGCTGTCTTGCAAACCCCATCTAAAAGAGAATACAATCGTATTCTTAATTCTTTACTAAATGTCAATATAATAAAACCTACTGTAAGTATTTTCATTGACAGTCAATTTAACTGCAGTGTACAGTAAGATAAATATGAATGGACACTTTACACTCAGTAAGGGAATATTTATAGGATCAGGCTCTAAAAATACCATCATCTTCATCCCTTTAGGGTCATTCAGTGCTAGTCAGTCATCATGTGGAATTTTTGTGGTCATCAGAGGAAAATGTCCTATCAATCAATTGGAGGTGGGCAAAATGCTATTTTTAAAACAGAAATTCAGAGAAAAATAGCACATGGACTGGAGACAGTTGCAAAGTCAATTTGAACGTAGCAATACCTTACAGTGACAAAAGGATCTGGGGGGAATTCTACAAAAATTCTGAGACATTCACTCTTAAGTCCTCTAAACAAAAAACAAGGTTCAGGAACATGAAAATGTTTCCTTTTGAGTCTTTAGAAATAAAACTTTTTTTATTTTTCATTTCAGAATGACATTTTTCCATTCCATGATTGAACTAGACCTCAATAAAAAGTTTAAACAAAATTATTAAGTAATTTAAAATGAAACAAAACACTTAATTCCCTATATAAGGAAACATTCTAGTTTGACCCCAAATGGAAATTTTAGCTTCTCTGTATTGTCTTTTCCAAAGCTTGTCAGGGTATTTACCCCTGAATGGAAGTACTTTCCAGTGTTTTGCTCTGGCTGCTGAAGCACAAAACCTCTCAGGATCACTACACTCACTGAGAGTCCCTGCTGCAACAGCCTGCAAAAGGAAAAATAGGATTTTCCTACATCTCCAGGAACACGAAGGGAGCCCTGGAGTTTGTTTTCTTCCCCAGTGTTGTAATTGGTGGGGTTTTGCTTACTGAGGCATTAATTACAAACAGAAGTATTCCCTAGAACAAGCAGATGGTTTGTGTTTACCACAACTTTGCACGAACAAATGAACTTACCGAGAGTCCTGGTTGGAAAGAAGCAGTTTCAAGCTTTACATTTCAGATAACATCTTAAACCCCCTCCTGTCCCTCGGTGCCTGCCCCTCCAGGGGGGTGCCGCGTACTCACCGTCGTAGGTGGCGTACAGGACGATCATGGTGACGGCCACGATGGCCAACAGCGCTGCCACCACGGCCAGCCCGACCTCCAGGCCACTCCATCGCCCCTTCTTTGGCTTGGGAGCGTTCATTTCAGTTATATCCATCTGGCTTTCTGACTTGCCCATAACCCAGTCTGCAAAGGAGAAGGGAATATTCCCTGAGCACCCACACTGAGCCACAGGTTTGGAACCTGCTCCTCAGCTACACAGCACCAAAGATGCTTTCTAGGTGAGTTTTCAGATTCTTTGTAGCGCTGCTGGATTGTCAGTCAGGAACTGTGGAATCCTGCCCTGCTGTCAGGCCCGTGCACACCCCCACCCCCACAACGTACCACGCACTCCCTGTCATTGATGGAGAGCAGCACGGAGATGTTCCTTCCCGTGGAGGAGCTTCCTTCACACCAGAGGGAAGAGGAAGGGCAACAAACCAAAATCTGTTTTGAAAATTTACCCGTGAGGTTTAATCTGGTGTGAAGGTACAGGAGTTCACAAGCAAGTGAAAAGCAAGTCTCTCTGCTTGAATAAAAATTAACTTAATCTGCCAATTACTTATCTAATGCCAAAGGTCAAAATATGCCATTGTGCTTGGCTGTCATTTCTTAAAATATTATGTAAGCAGTTCTTGACTACAGCTTTACAGCTGGCTCTAAAAATAGAAAAAAAACTCAGGCTCTGCTGGGAGCCTGTCAAATTCACACTGAAGATAGTGAGTCTTCACAGCAATTTTTAAAGAACTGCAACCAGGCCTGTCTTTTGAGGTTAGAGCTGTGTGAAACAGGAGTCACGCAACGCTGGTGACAGTGGGAACAGGCTCGGGCTCACGGGGGGAACTCAGGCAGTACAATTTAAGGTTGTATTTCTTTTGCTCCTTAGAGGTAACCGGGCCACCTTTGCAGTGCTGCTGGTGGCAGGTCTGTGCTCTCCCTTGGTCTGCTCCCACTTATCCAGGGCCAGAGTTCCCTCCACCGACAGAGATCCCAATTCCTACACGTACAGCAATGTATTTCTCAGTATTTCACAATGGAAACTTGCGGCATTTCCTGGGGCTCTTTACATCCAAAACAGAGCACACACCCTTCCCATTCGCTGGGGCAGATAATGGGAACACCCACATTCACCAGACCCCTCACACAAAGGTCACCCTTCGCTACAGCATTTCCCTTCTCTAAGTCAGCGAGGGACCCTTCTCAGTCTCTGCATCCATTCCAGTCCAAGAATTGAACTTCATTATTTTAAACTACTTTGCTGTATTGCTGACTTCTGTTCATCTTAGTCTCCTCGAACTGCAGCAGTCTGTCACATAACCCAGTCTGTGCTTTTCATCTGGACCCCCTGTTTCCCTGACACTGTTCCTCTAAATGAAAAAAGAGACCATTTTACTTCCCTTTAAAGTGTCTCGTCTCCCCTTCTGTCACTACTCCTGGGACATCAGGATGCAGGAGGTGACTGGCAGTGCCAGAATCGCAGCTCTTCCATGGCTCAGGAGGCTGGAATCCTGCAAGGTCTGCCCAGCCTATGTCTTTCAACACCTACAGGCACCAGTACAACTGCTTTCACGTGCCTCATGAGTTGCTGTTTTTCTCTGATGAGTAGTTTTTTTGGTCAAATGAGACAGTGGTTTGTGAGGCACAGGACTGAAATCCCACAGAACCAGGTAAAGGAGTGAGAAATCTGCCCTGCATTAACTGCAAGATAAAAGTTCATAGATAATAAAAAAGCAAATTAACTATTATCCCCTTCTCACTTTCAGTCATATTAAGCAGCAAAAAAAGCTATTTACATGGTCTAAATACTGACCAGTCGCCAGAATCCCCTGAATACCTGGAGCCTCATTTAAGCAATGATGCTTATCTCCTGACTCGGGGGGTGACTGAGCACTGAGAACACAGTTCAGTAGAGCAGCAGGAAACACTGCACCTTTCATGTGCGAATACGTCCCTTGCAGTCAGCTAAGTTTTTCCAAGTGAGCTAATCTTTCTGTCCCTGCAGGACTCTTCCTCGCGTCCTAGGCATCTGACTAATTTTTACTTGTAGTTATTTAAGGAGTTGATCCCATCTGCATTAACGAACACCAGGTAAAAGCTGCTTTATGCGCTAACTGCAAGCACAGCGAAAGTGTAGGAGTAATTTAAGCAGATACAAGCCTTGGTATTGTGTTTTTCTTACACTTCTCTTAGTGCTTCTGTGATTCCCCTTTGCTCTGCCTACCAAAGCTTAGACACCGCAGAGAGCTGACGATATTTTGATTGATCCTGATCTAGGAGGTACGGGGAGTTAATTAATGCGTTATCTTTTGGTTTTGGGATGGGCACGTTGAAAATCGGCTTGTGGCTTACTTGGTTCCCAGCGTTCGCTTCTACAGAAAATGCAGCACGTCACGAGAATAGTTTTTTTTCTCGCTAAGTTGGGCCGCCTGTCCCGTGCAGATACATGGGCTACAGCGGGCACGGCGGGGCAGCGCCGGGGGCAGCCCCTCGGGGGGATGCACCTCTCCCGGCACAGCCCCGGCGTAGCCCCGGAGCCTGGGAGAGCCCCGGAGCCCGGGACAGCCCCGGAGCCCGCAGAGCCCCGGCCCCGCGGGGAGGTGCGTGGGGCCGGGCCGGGCCGCCCAGGGCGGGGAGGGCTCTCGGCTGCAGCCGCTGCCCGGAGCGGCCCCGCCGGAGCGTCCCGCGGGCTCGGGGCGCTGCTGCGGACCCCGCGTCCGGCTCGGGGAGCACCGCGCTGGGGCTGCCGGCTCGGGGAGCCGCGCGGGGACTCGTCCGTCCGTCCGTCCGTCCGTTCGCCCGCCCCGCTCCCGCAGCCCCGTCCCCGCACTCACCCGCTGCGCTCGCAGGGCTCCGGCCGCGGGGCCGCCACGCACATCCCCGGGCGGCGCCGGGCGGAGGCGGCGGGTCTGCGCCCGCGGGTCCCGGGGGAAGGCGGCGCGGGGTTAGGTTTAGGCTCGGGCTTAGGCTCAGGCTTAGGCTAGCGGGGCTGTGCCGGGCGGCCCCCGGCCGCGGGGCGCCCGCATGGCCGGGACATCCGCGCCCGGGGCGCTCCCGCTGCCCGCGCCCGCCGAGCCGAGCCGATCAAAGGAGCCCTTGTCCGCCGGCCCAGCAGTTCTCTGGGTGACCTGAAGGCTTCTTCCTCTTCGCGATCATAAAAATGGGATGGGGCAGGAAACAAACAAACAACCCCCCCGCCCCGCCGAGCCGCGCTCAGCACCTCGCCGAGCCGCCCCCGGGGCAGCGGCCAGGGCAGGGCGGGGGAGCGCGGGGGAGCGCGGGGTCCGAGCCCCCGGAGCGGCGGTACCTGCGCGCCCGCCCCGCCCGCTCATCGCTCCCCGCGCCGGAGCCGCGGCGGGATGCGCACGGAGGGTTAGCGGCTGCACGGCTGCACGGCTCGGTGCCCGCTCCCATGCGCACCCATCGCCTTTGTCAAATTAACGCAGTCACGTACTGCTCTGCAGGATCTCATGTCCTCATTCACCGAGTGATTTCTCCTCGGGAGGGAGACAGCTGGGACTTCTTGCGCGGAGAAGCAGCTCTCAGCTCTGTCCTAAGATTTCTTAACCGACCGAGTACCAAGAGATACTTGTTTCGTTCTTACAAAGTTTCATTGTAATTAATTTTCCTTTTTACTAACAGACTGGCAAACATCAGAAGCAGCAATGTGAGTTGCCATCGTTCCTCTCGCTCACACCAGGCACCACGCTCACTCCTGCTGCCTTCCTAAAAGCACCTTTATTACCTCTGAGACAGACATGGCAGCTGGAATTTCTGAAAGCTTTTGTTCCCAGCTACACACACGAAAACGTCTGTGGCTTGAGAGGGGCGATTTCCTCTCCAAGAAAAGTGGAAACTGAATCCCAACTTCTTTATGGAACTGCCCTGTGAGTGATCCACAGGGCAGATGGAATGGAGAGGGGAGGCCGATAACTGAGCATTGGCTGTAAAAATGAAGCACTTTTGCAAAATGAACCTCTGAAGAAGGAGGTTTTACTCACCAAAATGACAATAGAAGTCTAAAAAAAAGGGCAAGAATAATGTTTCAAACAAAAAGAGAACAAAAATACTGTATTTTCTTACAAAGAAGAGTGGGGGAAATGCTGATTATGTCTTTTCCAGGATCAGTGTTCTAATTAATATAAATGTCTCACTTTCAACCTTCCCAGCATTAATTCTTGCAGAGTTCCAGTCCGGTTCCTGGAACAAGCCATGTGCTCCTGCAGGTCACTCCTGAAATTACCTGGTGCCTTAAACAACAGCAAATCTCACCAGGCAATGTAAGAATAGAGGAGTCATTAAAAATACATGTGATTTTGTAACCAGCTGCCTATAGCACGGCCTTAACTGCAACCAAGCTCGGGAAGCAGAGGGTGATGTGTGATCAGACTGAATTAAAATGGCAGAAAAGGATTTGTTTTAAAAATTTTATGTGAACCAAAAAAGCAGAACTGCCTAATTCACCACAAAGAGAGAGAAAAGGAACAAACTCATCTGGAAATCTGTAAATAGCCCGAAGAGAACTGACGTACCTGTGAGAGACTTTCCACTCTTGTAGAACCTCGTGCTTGGAAAGAGGGAGCAGACCTTGGTGTATGCCCAGGCCACGAGAGGTGTGATCTGTGAGTCAAGTGCTGGCATTTCTGTTTGGGCCTTTCCTAGGGAGAACTCCCACAAAGTCAACAGTATGATATCCTTCTTAAGAAAAATGTTATCACTGCTCCCGTGGGCAAGCAGAGGCAAGGATTGTAGTAGGAGACAATAGTGAGGTGGGGTTGGTCTCTTCTCCCAGATAACAAGTGATAGGACAAGAGGAAATGGCTCAGATTCTTCCAGAGGAGCTTTAAGTTGGATATTAGGGAACATTTTTTCAAGGAGATGGTTGTCCAGCCCTGGCACAGCTGCCCAGGGCAGTGGTGGAGTCCCCATCCCTGAAGGGATTTAAAGGTGGATGTGGCACTTGGGGACGTGGGTCAGAGGTAGCCTTGGCAGTGCTGGGGAATGGCTGGACTTGGTGACCTTAGAGGGCTTTTCCAACCCTATAATTTTAGGGATGAGAGACCTGAGGCTTCATTCTCTTACCAGCTCACATTGGGCTGGTGTTGAATCCAGTTAAACACCCAGTGTTTGCTTCTCTCAATCACCTTCCCCTGACTCTGATTTCACCAAGATAAGAAACACAAAACCAAACCAGCAACAGAAAGTTCACCCCAGAATTGAAAGAAACAATGAAACCCTCACATTTAGAGATAAAAATAAATAGTTTGTCCTTATAACCTTCCTTTGGTGTTCTACACTCAAGTGATCCTGCTGCTTGCAGTGAGAAAGAGCAGGATAAGTGTCTCCAGGGTCATCCTTTAGGGACAAGTTTGGTGGGATCTGGCACTGCTGATCCCTGGACTCCTGATGGACAACCACCAGGTTGAAACAAACACATGGTAAATTTATAGAACCAAATAACACTCAGCATACAGTTTAGAGAATCAGATAATGGGCAAAAAGAGTCAATGAAAGAGCATACGGTCATTAAATCGATGTCCTTGAAAAAGAAAGGTGTCCTCTCAATGCTAATTAATCTGAGGGGAGATAGCAGCACTATCCCTTAGCAGTACTGTCCCTTAAAAATCTGGCTAGGGAAGGAAGTTTCTCCAAAACTGCACCCACAGGTAGCTAGAAAAACATAAAAAAATGAGTGCACTGATCAGCCATTAGAAAAACAAGCAGTGTCACAACAGCTCAGCTGGAATTCTCCATGGAGTGAAGAAAAGCCAAAGACCCATTCAATACTGTCTTCTCCAGTTGGTCCAAACTGACCACAGCAAAATGTTAATCCCAGAATGACTTCGGGAGGGCATTTGGGACATTAGGACTCATTTACACCCCTGTGAAACCACCTTGATGATACTTGTATTTCCTTTCAGAGAAGCTCACTTTCCAAAGCAGCAAAGCCAAAGTGCAAGGAACCAACAGCAGCCAAGTGGATGCTGCCTGTGTGTGTGACTGCTCACCTCAGTGCTGCTCATCTCCTGCCCATCACAGCCTGTGTCACAGGCAGAGGGGAATGGAGAACCTGCTGCCTTCCCTCCCTGGATGTGTGTGTGTTCAGTGCAGCTGGGCTGGGAGAGAGAGTTGAGGTGTTAAAAGTCTGAGCAGCCTGAGTGTTTCCTCACTGGGTTATGGGCTTGTTCCTCAATAAGTTTGTACTGAATCCAGGCGTGGGTAATTCCTCATTCAGGAAAGTAAACAGTCTGGGTCTCAGAATCCTTGTTTCAGTGCCTAAATTATTCAGGTCTAATTGTATTGTGTTCTAAGGCTTTGTCTTTGTTAGGTGAGGGCCTCGAAGTGCAAGTGATCTTCAGGTGTTTGCAAGCCTGATAAAAACCTGGGCTGAAAAGCTGCTTTTTATTTTTCTTTTGGCTGTTTCTGAGCTTGCCTGAGAGCCACACACGAGGCTGCAGTTAACAGTGGCTAACAGGCCCCTTGGGGTCCTGAACTTCTGTGCACCCATGCAGGGAGTCATCCTTGTAAGTGATACTGGGAAGACAGTGGGTGTGTTTTGTGGAAGAAACGGGTAAAAGTGGAAGTGGTGTGGAACTGCACGTGCCATATGCAGATGGCAGGAAAGCTGGTAATGGTGTGAACACAGAGACCAGAGATAGGAGAGTTCAGAAGCATTAACCACAGGGCTTCCTGCACAGTGCAAACACGAGGATGAAAGCTTAGTCACACTCCCCTGGTTAACTGAAAACCACAGTGAGCAGAAACACAGAGAGGCCTTTACTCCAGCAACAACTGGAGCAGAAACTACCAGGGACATGCAAAATCCAAGGAGTCAACACCCTGCTGTGATTCCAAGCAGCTGTCTGCACTGGGGCCCTGCAGCTCCAGGGATCCACAGCTCCAGGGATCCACAGCTGTTGGCATCACCCCAAAAGCCTGCACTCTGTGTTTTGTTGGTGCCATCATCATCCTCATCACTCTTAGGCCTTGTGTGCAGTGATTTCCAGGGTGCCTTTATTGCAGAGGTGGATGTTGCCCACGAGCCTCGTGGTTGGGCAGTGGAGGCTGTGGGAGGTTGGGCAGGTGTGGGAGCAGTGGGATGACCATGTGGGATGTGTTTGGAGTGGCTTTGGGATAGGAAATGCCAGAGAATTGGGAGCAACACTGATCAAAGAGTGAGCCAGGGGCAGGAGGTGCATGGGGACCCCAAATGTGAGAGGATGTTGATTAGGAGCTTGTGCAGTCTATGCTCTGTGTGTCTCCTGGCTCAGTGACAGCAGCTGGATTCCACCAAGGAACAAGATTAGGGCTGATAATGTGTTGGACTGCGGCACTGTTTGAAGCTGAATCATAATGCCTGGTGTGTCTGCACGAGATAATTAAAGTTGACAAACAAAGGAGCACAGGTTTTTGGATCCATGGGAGGGTTTACAGATGACTAGTCCGGGGGTTGTTATTTGAGCAGCTTTGCTCAGTTCTGCACAGCACTTCACGTGGATGCCACCATCATGGCATATTCTGAGAGCATCAGAGTAGCCCTGAGTGCTGCAGCAAATGCCTTTGTGATGTGTTTCTAATACTGGTGTTTTTAAAAAAGTAGAGAATATGGCAGAATCTGGCAGCTGGCAGGAGGGGTTGGTTATCACTGAAAGGATAGGGAGAGCTTGCAGAGTAAAATATGTCCCAGAGCTACCCCTGGCACTGCCAGCCCTAAGGATAATGGGATTGCAGCCCTACTCCCTGCCTTGTCGTTTCATTGTTAGATAATGAGAGGAACATCACCCATTTTCTCAACAATAGAATAATCTTCCTTTTCACTGTCAAGTATCAGACTGAGTCTTTTTGTTGTTTGTGAAGGTGCATTGAGTGATT